ACTCTAGTAGGATTTTAAGAGCACTATTTGAAATCGCTCTCAGCAGAAATTGGGGCCCAGTTGCCTCTGTGATTCACTCGCTCTGTTTATCTGTTGAAAAGAGATTGTGGTCCTTCCAGCACCCGTTAACTCAGTTTGATTTGCCGGCAGATATCTTGTACAAGGTAGATCAAATCCCGACTACAATCAGTATTGAAGAAATGCGAGATATGAACGAAAACGAGTTGGGCGAATTGATTAGGCATGTCCGTATGGGATCCCTGTTAAAGAAGTGTGTAAAGCAGTTCCCCGTATTGCATTTATCAGCATCAATCGCACCAATCACCAAAACGGTACTACGTGTGACTCTGGAAATAACTCCAGATTTCCAATGGTTCGATCGAATGCATGGAAATATGGAGCCGTTCTTTATTTGGGTGGAAGAATCCGAAAATGCAGAAATTTTATATACAGAAACCTTCTTGTTGCATAAACGCCAAATCAAGGAAACTCAGAAGCTTGGGTTTACGATTCCTATCCCAAGATCAAATTCAACCGCTGATGGTTTGCCTTCGCAGATTTTCATCAGAGCGCTATCTGATCGCTGGCTAGGGGCTGAGACAATACTTCCGGTTTCTTTCAAGCATTTAATATTGCCCGATCAACATCGTACAACACATACGGACTTGCTGCACTTGGATCCTTTACCTATTTCTGCGCTGCATAATCCTTTGTTGGAGGCAATCTGCGAGCAAAGATTCCAATTCTTCAATCCGGTCCAAACTCAGGTGTTCCACACATTGTATAACACTTGTCACAATGTGTTACTTGGTGCCCCAACCGGTTCGGGGAAAACCGTTGCTGCAGAATTGGCCCTGTGGTCTGCGTTTAGAGATTTCCCAAACTCAAAGGTGGTATACATTGCCCCGTTAAAAGCCCTAGTTCGGGAACGAGTGCAAGATTGGGGCAAGCGATTAGCTCCAGCTATGGGGAAACGTTTGGTTGAACTGACTGGCGACACGACGCCGGATCTTTTGACAATTGAAAAGTCGGATATTATTATTGTACCTGCTAATTAACATTAGACTACTCCTGAAAAGTGGGATGGGGTTAGTAGATCTTGGAAAAAGAGAAAGTACGTATCTCAAGTATCATGTGTAATAATTGATGAAATTCACTTGCTTGGAGGTGATCGCGGGCCAATCCTCGAGGTTATTGTGTCGCGCATGAATTACATTTCTGCATTTACTCAAAACAAGATTCGGATTGTTGGGCTTTCTACCGCGTTGGCGAACGCGACTGATTTAGCTGACTGGCTTGGCATTGGAAATGTAGGATTGTTCAATTTCAGACACAGTGTTAGACCGGTTCCGTTAGAAATCTATATTGAGGGATACCCTGGAAAGCACTACTGTCCCAGGATGATCTCTATGAACAAGCCTACTTATGCAGCGATTATTACACATTCACCGACTCAGCCGGTAATTGTTTTTGTTTCTTCAAGAAGACAGACAAGATTGACTGCTCAAGACTTGATATCTCTGTGCTCCAACGATGAAAACCCTAAAAGGTTTTTGAACATGCACGAAGAAGAAATGGAATTTATCTGCTCTCAAATTAAAGACCAGGCATTAAAAGTCACGCTGCCATTTGGTATTGGGCTGCATCATGCTGGCATTGTTGACAAGGATAGAAGAATTGTCGAAGAGCTATTCTGCAATGGTAAAATCCAAGTATTGATTGCAACATCTGTAAGAAAATGCTAACTGTAGACTCTTGCGTGGGGAGTAAACTTTCCTGCTCATTTAGTGGTGGTAAAAGGTACCGAATTCTACGACGCAAAAATTAAAGGCTACAAAGATTTCCCGATAACTGACGTATTGCAAATGATGGGAAGAGCTGGAAGACCCCAGTTTGACGATTCTGGTGTGGCAGTAATTCTGGTTCATGATGTCAAAAAGGATTTTTACAAGAAATTCTTACATGAACCTTTCCCTGTTGAAAGTTCCTTGCACGAATGTCTTCATGAACATTTAAATGCGGAAATTGCTTCTGGAACTATAAAAAGCAAGCAAGATGCTATGGATTATATGACCTGGACTTATCTTTATAGACGCGTTGCAATGAATCCTACCTTTTATGGATGCGAAGATGGATCAGAAGAGAAAGTAGGGCTTTATCTATCTCAACTGATTGAAAAAATTCTATTTGATCTGAATGAATCCTATTGCGTATCCGTAGAAGATGATTTGGTAAAAGCAACTCCGTTTGGCGCAATAGCCTCCTATTACTATCTTCGCTATTCTACGATAAAGACTATGAAAAAAAGATTAGCAAGAAATTACTCCAATACAGGCAACCCAGAACTTGGCGAATACGAACATGGGCACTTTTCGAAACTGTTGCGTATTCTTTGTGATTCTGCTGAATATGATGACCTTCCATTGCGTCACAATGAAGACTTGGTAAATCAAGAATTAGAGCCTCAGTTGCCAATTCCGGTGCGAGAAAAGCGCGATACACCGTTTGATGATACTAATCAGCCACCCTACAAGTATGATGATCCACATGTCAAAGCCTTTTTGCTTTTGCAAGCGCATTTATCAAGATTCACTAAATTCTCCTGCGCTGATTACATTACTGATACTATTAGCGTACTTGATCAAGCAATCAGAATCACCCAAGCAATGATTGATGTTGCCAAATTCAATGGCTACTACCACCTGATAGTGGGGTTAATCAACGTGCTGCAGTGTGTTAAACAAGCAATGTGGCCAACTGAAAACATGTTTGGCTTGGAAACGAAATTGATTGAATTCAAAAACAAAGACCGGGAAGAAATTACCAAAATGCTTTCTGGGGTAAAGAATTCTAAAGAAATCATGAAAGTCATTCCAAGATTACCTTTTATTGAAGTCGAACTCCAGGTGATTGATGGTAAGCACAAACAAGGAAGATGGTACTTGGAGTCTGGTAAAGAATACTCACTCTCAATTGCCCTCAAGAATTCAAAAATAGGAGAAAACATCTACTCTAAATTCCCTAAACCTCAAACTCAAGGCTACTTTGCAATTCTTTCAGATCGCAATGAAATTGTTGGGTTCTCTAGAATCTACAACCAGAATTCCAGATTGAAATTCAAGTGCCCGCTCAACTTTGGCGAACATGATTTTGCAGTTGATATCATGAACGATGGGCACGTTGGGCTAGATCTATCTACCAACCTTCGGCTGGTAATTGTTTGAGGCCGTTTCGAATAAACAATGTTTCCGTATTAACAGCGCTGCCGTCCATTGCTGTGATATAATTTACAAATTTCAACTCAAAATCAATCCACGCCATAAATGAATCTGGAAATTCAAACATTCAATAATGGCAAGTTATTCGTCATATCGCAGGATAAATATCACCCGCTGGATTTCATATTTGTAACCAGCACATCAATATTAATGTCCATCCTGTACTTTATAGATCAAACCTACAACGCTCCCCTCATATTTATAATATCGCTGTACATTTACATTCGCATTAATTCAATTTACAAAGAAACCCTTCTGGTATTTCCGTTGGGTATCCAGCTGGAACAGCACTCTATCCTCGCAAAGCAGATTAAATTTATACCTAAAGAAAAAACAAGAGAGATACTGATACTGGAGGGTATTTACAGGTGGCAGGTGGTGTTCTATCTGGGCATTTGTACAGATAATTCAATCTCTGTATGTTTCAAGAATTTACTGCCGCGACTCCATTTACTAGAGCGGGTGTACATTGAACTACAAAAATAAACAAGTCTTCCGGCAGTTGAATAAAAATCCTTTATTTAGATTCTTTCGTCAAATTTAGTGCGCAACAATGCAGGCAAATGATCATTGTGTTCCTTATGAGAGATGTATCTCTTTACATAACCTTCTTGCTCCTTTGTTTCAAATGTAACTGGTGGTTTTGCTTTCAATTGGTTGTATTTTGAAACAGAGTAATAGATACCGGCATAAATACCGACGGTGTATAATACGACCTAGAATTAATTGAGAGTACTCTGTATCTGTGGATTTTGAGACCAAAGACGTTGAATATTTCGTATGGATTACCTCCTCCCATTTTGCAAGATTTGTAAGATGAAAAAGAAAATTTTAGTTTGTGAACTGAATTTTGGAATTCAATTGGTAGAGGGATTATGGTGAAAATGCACAAAAGAGAGAAATTAAGAAAATCGACCCTTTCAGTGATACTCAACTTTAAAATCATGGTTTACAGCGGGATAGGTTTCTCACAAAGCCGAGCATGTGTAGAGTCTATTAACAACAGAATACAGCCTACCCACTTGAGAATTTTAGAGAATTATTCCTGTATTATTTTTATAATTTTCAATGGTATTGCTGATTCAATCTCCTGAAATTAAAGAATTTCTCGCAAGCTTAAAAGATACCAAATCCCTGGATTCAAATAAAGATCTTACTCTGGAAACAACAGAAAATGCACCAGATGAAAAAGTTGCCAAACCAGCGTCAGATGTAATTGATCATACAGAGCTGGTGAAATTGTTGAAACTACAATCCAAATATACGCTGGCCAAACTTGTTAAAACCACTTCATTCTACCATAAACCACTGCCAACACGAACCCCATCACCAGAATACGTTAAATTAATGGATCACTACAGACAATTAGCTGCGGAAAGAGAGTATAAAGAAATGACGGGGAAGTACGACCGAGAATTTACTAGCAGTGATTGGAAAACTGTGAATAGTCTGATGGTTTCCATTGGTAATGTGTTTTTCAGTGTTGGCGCTGTATTTGTTGCTACGTTCATGTTGGGTGAATATGCAGGAGTGGATATTGCGATACGAGTGCTGGTTGGATTAGCTATGGGAGCAATTGTTTTCTTTGCGGAAGGATGGTTCTTTACCAAAGATTGGATTTCTACCAAAGTATAATAAACACTCTGCAAAACTAATATATTTATGGACATTTCATAAATACATTTGCATAATTCACAAATGGACTCTAAATTTGAGAGTCGTGGGTTGATAGCACAACGGTAGTGCATCCGACTCCAGATCGGAAGGTTGGGGGTTCAAATCCCTCTCGGCTCTCACTTTTTGCGACAATTGCACATCTAGAAATTACATTGCCCTCTAAATTATTTGGCGCAACTTTAGGGATTTCTCATGTCCTAAATAAACCTCTAACTTTTTTTAAATTTCCTTCCAAAATAGGCGGAATAGCAGCGGAAATCCGGACTAGTAACAAGATGCAATATCATTGAATCTTGAAATCATGGTGGGGCATTGTTGAATACCCGATGCGCCATATCCTTCCGATGTATTAGTCATTTCATCCGCGGAAAAATACGTCAAAATCATGCCCTAACAAAGACCTTAGCTGTCTATCCGCCTATAAACTATCCCATGGAAACTACAACCATAGCCGAGTTTCGAGATTTGAGAATGTGAATGGCTGTGGTAGCTTATCCCCGCATTAAGTTTCAAAGTAAAAAATTACCATGGATATTTTCCTTGACGGAAAATAATTCTTTATAAATCCACTTGAAATTGCACTCATTCAAAAATGTTTAATTGGGCAAGGAGTGTACAATTGTGCCAAGAGAATCAAGTGGTCAAAATCAAGAATGTAGAACACCTTCGTGAAATTCTCGTTCATGTGAATTCAACTGGAAAGAAATTAAAGATTTTGGGTACTGGCATGTCGTTTGGTGGAATAGCGGCTATTGACGGGCCATTGGATGTCATGGTCGATTTATCAAGTCTTTCAGGATTAGCCAGCATGGAGAATAACTTGGCTAAATTTGGAGGATCAACAGTGTTGCAAGAAGTCACGGATTCATTAATTCAACATGGTTTACAGATTGCTGCTTGCCCTGGTGTTTTGGTCGCACAAACACTCGCTGGCGCACTAGCGACTGGTACACATGGACAAGGATTGAAATATGGTGGGCTGTATGATATTGTGTATTCAATGGAAATCATGTTTGCGGACGGATCTCTCCATACATTCAGCAAAGACTCGCCATACTACAACGGCAAAGACGTTTTGCACGCTTTCCAATTGCATTTGGGCTGCCTTGGAGTATTGGTGTCTGTAACCCTTGAGTGTGAACCACTCCAAATCTACAGATTGGATAAATCCGTAACTGATTTTGAAGATTTAAAAGAAAACTATATCAAATGGAATCATGAAAATGAACATTGTAAAGCCTGGTGGTTTCCAGACACCAATCATATACAGGTATGGAAAACAAAACTAGCTTCTGAAAGTGAAATCTTACAGTACAAGGAAAATAACAACACCATTTATGATTTGAAAGACAATGTTGCTGGTAGTTCTGATAGAGTTGGCTCAGCTGATCCAAAAAGAACTTTACAAGGAGTTAAAGGTACCGGGTTCAGCAATTCTCTGCAAGAGCTGCTCAGCAACATGGCAATTGATACTCAAGATGAATCGAGCGAAAAAACAGATGATTTGAAAGAGGCTAGATTCAAAACGGTTCAGAGATTCTCTAAACTTGATGCTAGAGTCGGCAACATTTATCAAATTTGGTGTAAAGGCATTCCCGCTCCTCAAATCAACTGTGAACTGGCGGTTCCTTTAGATAGGCTGCCAGAATTACTACAGATATTAAAGGATTTCTATGAATCTACCGATAAGAGCATCCACTACCCATTCATTCTCAGAACAGGTGGTTCAAGCCCGTCTTGGCTTAGCCCATCTTACAACCAGCAGGTCTGTTACGTTGGTTTCCTAGCATATCTCAATGACAAGACGTATAAAGTCCACCAAGATCAGATGGAGTTTGTATGCAAAATTGAAAAAGTAATTGCAGACTTTGGATGCTGGCCTCACTATGGAAAGTTCTTTACTCGGTCATTGTATGATTTTGATTCAATGCTGCCTAGGCTGAAAGAGTTTAAACAGCTTCGAGATGAGGTTGATCCTAATTATGTGTTTGCCAACAAGTATATCAAAGATTTGTTTTCAATATAACCTTGCTATTTACCTGTTGTTACATTCGCAATTACTATCGATTATCAAAAACAAAATAGAAAGCTGGACTGAAAAAAAGAGAGCCGAGAGGGATTTGAACCCCCAACCTTCCGATCTGGAGTCGGATGCACTACCGTTGTGCTATCAACCCATGGACATTTTTCCTGCGTTTTTGTAACTAGCATCACACAGAGTTAATAATATTAAATACTGCTAGGTACTGGGCTTTTTTCAGAAACAAACAAATTGATGATCCGCAAACATTAGAGTACTTGGCTATCCAATGTGATAATTTGTACGCTGAATCCTTGGAGGTAAGCAATGTGTCACAGTGAATTGCCAAGCACTCTATTTGCGGATTTCCAAATGAAAGTACAGCAGATGGAATACAATGCTAACCTCTAACTCTGGGTTAGAAATCCAGATTGCCAACTAAATCTGGAAATACCAATAAATATTATTCCAAATTGCGATAACAAATCCAAAATAGAACAATTTGCAAGAGAAAAAAAAGAGAGCCGAGAGGGATTTGAACCCCCAACCTTCCGATCTGGAGTCGGATGCACTACCGTTGTGCTATCAACCCACGTGTCAACATTTTCAAATGACATTTTTCAATATTACTTTCAAACGATACCCAGCCAATGTTTTCTAACAGGAAACTTCAAATTTAACTCAAAAAGACTCGCTAATAAGTGTCAGAGAACACCTTGGCGTCACCTGGGTTCTCACTTTGATTCACTGATACAACAATCATACACTGCTGCCAACGACAATCGAGTTCATAGATTTGGTCTACATGGCGATCTCTTTCAAATTCCACATCAAAAATATTGCTTGTAATTCGATATTCCGTTTATTTTTGATTTTCAAGTTGCTTTGATTTCCATTCAAAGTACAAATCATCATTAAATTTGTATGATTCAAAGTCGACACATGGAACTAGAATTAGTTGTATTTACCTCCATCCTTCTTTGCAAGTTCAGCTTCTTCTTTCTTTTCTTGGGCTTCAAATGCAAGTTTGGCTTCTTCAACCAAATCTTCATACTTTCTGCGAGCAGTTTGTTCATTTCTGTCCTTTACATAATAAGTGAGACTTCTTTGTTTAGAAAATCCGTAGGAGACTCCAAAAACAAGAGCACCGAGACGCAATAACTAATTTTAGTAATTCGTTGTACGTTGACTGAATGGTGGTTGATGAGTGATGCCATCTGAATGGTTTTTGAAAAAATTTTGAGCAGTCGAAATTTCAGTTTCCCAACCCTAGACAATGAAAAAGAATAGCATACTGAAACGCCCAACAGATTCCCAGAATGGACAGAAAGGGTGGGTTGTATTAATATAGGATACGATGGGATGAAGATAATTTGGCCATCACCGAAGCACAAAAAGACTCTACGATGAAAATCTTGGAGCCAAAAACACCCTATATCCACTACGACGCATCTATGGATGAACTCAAAGGCACCTCCAGCCAAGGCGTGCCGCCAATGGAACTAGAGCGAGCGATTAATCTGCAGAATTCTCTTAAGCGTGAAAATTCCCAGGAGATTCCGTTTGATGTTGACAAGCAGTTGAATATCAGCAGCAAAGAGCACGACTGGTCGGAAGATGAAGAAGACCCAAAAGGTTTGGTTTGCTAATACAGAAAAACAAAAGCACCAGAGGTTCAAAAAGATGCGGGCAGAACACTATGATATGAAAGAGGTTTTATCTCACGCAAAGGATTTATTGGAGAGCGAGCTGGAAGATGAGAATATTAATGACCCCAATAAGTATGAAGTTGAAGAAGCACAAACACCCAACGTTGAAACAGATTCCGAAGACGAATTATCGAATAATCATACCAGAAATTGAATAATAAACTGTCTATTTATATTCCGATTTGAGATTCAATGTTCTAGTGTCAGGATCCGTATACTTGGGCTGAAACAGGTAGCTGATGGTAACCTCTGTT